CTAAACCCTAAACCCTACAAACTGGCAGGATGCGACTCCTCTGTTCTGCTGACTTCATAACCTTAGAAGCAAAAGGTTCCTGGATCCACACCGACACCCCGAAACCCTGAAGCCTCAACCCTAAGCTCCTAAACTTTAAACTCCTAAACCCTAAACCCTAAACCTGTACATCCTTCAAGGAACCCTTATAGATTCCGTAAAGGAGCCCTAAACCCTAACCCCTCAACCCTAAGCCCTAAACCCTAAGCTCAAAAATTCGGACAGACAGGCCCCCTGCGGCCGAGAGCAACACAGACACACGTCGACGCTCCTCGACAGCCAATTTTGGTTAGCGATAGTGAGGTCTAGGATTTAGGATTTACAATTTAGGGTTCAGGGTTTTAGGGTTTAGGGTTTAGGATTTAGGATTTAGGATTTAGGATTTAGGATTGAGGGTTTAGTGTTCAGGGTGCAGGGTTTGGGGTTGCGTCCTAAACGCTAGACTCCAACCCCTGAACCCTAATCACCCAACCTTGAACCCAGAACCCCAAACCCCAAGCCCCAACACCAACAAGACAAAGGTTACATGGGTCTTTGCGGGATCAAACACCAGGCCTGGTGGTGAAAGCCGCCAAAGATTCCGAGACAGCTGCTCGGCTTCTCCTAAAGGAGGCTGAGGGACTATAGCATGGTAACATATAGCACAACATAATGGAATATAAAGCAGTAGCAAAACAATACGGTATAACATATTATAACATACTATAAAATGGGTTGCGGGTGCCGGGTTTGAGGGTTGAGGGGTTGGGGTTTCGCATGACAGGGCGGGAGCAGGAGCAGGAGCAAGATCTCCCCCGAGTAGCAAAACCACACCCTTCGCCATGTTTTTGCTGAAGGTTGGCGGCATGCAATATCAGGAGATATCTGGAGAAGAAGATCAGTCATGCCCGCAACAAAACCAGCAGCATAATATCCCAATCAAGACATCTTACGAAGGTTTTTCAGGGTTTTGGGTTGAAGGTTTATGGCTGATCTTCACGAAAACAAAATCCAGAGGACTGGCAGTGGAAAGGCGGCTACCTCGAGCGAGGGCGGCACTGCGGAAAGCCCCTCTTCGTGCGCGATGGTGCAGATGGCCGCTCTGCTCTGCACGGTTTAGGGTTTAGGGTTTAGGTTTTCAGGGTTTAGGGTTTAGGGTTCAGGGTTCAGGGTTTAGGGTTTAGGGTTTAGGGTTTTAGGGTTTAGGGAAGCCCAGGTTTACAGCTCGGGGCAGCCTACAGACCCGAAACCCTAAACCGCTTTGGTCTCTCTTTTGGAGTGTCGTTAATTTTCTGTAAGGGTTTAGGCTCCGTAGATAAGGTCCACCAACTGTTAACCTTGACCCCTATAGGGTCTCTATAAGGTTTCATTGAAGGTTCTGCAAGGGTTTACCTTAACCCTCAACTTAGTCCAAGAGCCCTACATAGTATGGTCTTTGGGCCCAAAAGCCTCAGAATATGAATCCTTAGAGCCTTCGGGTTAGGCTCTATAGATAACGTCCATCGAATGTCACTCCACCGCCGCTGTACTAGAGTCTAGCGGCTTCGACATTCTCTCGGCGGGCCAGGCTGTTTAGTTTAGTGAGGCCGAAATTCATAATAATGATACTGATAATCGTGCTAATAATAACAAGAATAGTCATCATAGCAGTCATGAGCAATAACTATAGCAATACTAATGGGAATGAGAAACAGTAATGAAGATATGTACAGGCAACCCTCAAGAGAGCCAAGTTACTGATCTACTAGGCTAGCTTGCTCATAGGTGTATAGTAGAGTATAGGGCTGAAGGAACAGTAGCCCATTATCTATGTAGCTGGGCTTCCGGGCACCTGAACCCCTAAACTGGCCCTAATCCCTAAACCCTAGACCCTAAAACCATAAACCCCTACACCTAAACCCTAAGACCCTACAAACCCTAAACCCCTAATCCCTAAACCCAAAAACCGAACCCCAACCCCCTACACCCCATGTTTACTCCTCCTTGCCAAGCCCCCGTGATCTTCAAACCTGGGAGATGCAACCCAGACATTCCAATATCCCACACTTAAAGTAGTTCTGCCGTAACATTTGAGGGGCCCAAAAGGCAGCCTAATTTAGAGAACTGCCCATCTCCGGTAAAAAGGAACAATACTGTTGTTGTGTGATGGTGCAGGCACTAAGCCACTGGCCCCCCCCCTCCCCCTGGACCCTTTACCTTGTCGACCTCCCACATGGAAAGCGTAAGCTCTAAACCACACTCAAGCCGGAAGCTAAGACGAAACCAAGGGACGCAGCTTCTCCCCTTAACCTTTGGGATTTAGGGTTCTTCCTTTTTTAGGATACGGAAGGAGCGCAAAACCAAAAACAGAGAGCAAGACTTGTTCTGCCTAAGAATCTTTACGATGTTTCGACGACCTGATAGACCAACCCTTTGCTGACAGATCTTCAAGCACACCATATCAAACCCTGCATAAACCAGGTCTTGTTGAAACATGACTCTTCAATAAGCCGGCCACAGACCTGGATTTCAACACTTTAAACCCCTAACCCATAAGACCTCGCTTAACTTGCAAATCCTTTGGGCGAACAATGCTCAGTGAATCCGCAATTCCCGAACTCCAGATCCTGCCTAGCGTTACTTTTTGACATTGAACCCTCAACACGAAACCATAATGTAGGGGCCTGATTGGAATAGGGTTTCGGCTTTAATCTAGTTTAATCAAGAGCCCAAGGAATGATGTTGGCAATTATTTCGGCTTCTACAGTAATCCCCAAACCCTTTGAAACCCTAAGCCCCAAGCAATGCTGCCGACCGAGGTGGTGTCGAATACGTCATCTACTACCATTCCGGATTCGCAAGGCCTACAGGGTTTTAGAATAAGACCCACACAACAGTCCCCTCTCCAGAAAAATTAGGCTTCAGGGGGGCTTTGGGCTTAAATGGTGGGTATCTGACCTGCAGGGTTTTGACCTGCCGCTCATGAAAAGAAGAAGGGGTGTAGGGTTAGGGGCTTAGTGTTGAGGATTCAGGGTTGCACTACACGCAGCTATAGCTGAGTTTTCTGGTTCAAAGGGTTCAGAGTAGGTATGTTGGCGATTTCGGAGCCCTGCCCTTCGATATCCTGTTCACCTCACCAAGCGCCCTCACGGTTTAGGGTTTAGGGTTTAGGGTTTAGGGTTTAGGGGGGGCACTCTTGAGAAAGCCCCGATGCCAGAGCTTCTAAAGTTCTGGAAATCAGATAGCGAAGGAAAGTGAAAACCGTAAACCCTAAACCCTTAACCCTAAACCCTAAACACTAGACCCTAAACCCTACACCCTAAACCCTAAACCCCTATAACCCTAACCCCGAGGTGGTTTCTGGGCAAGAAAGTCTGCACTGAGCAGAGTGTGAGCTTCAGCTGCAAGCCGCCTGGACGGCAAAGCTTAGGGCTTAGGGTGTATGGTTTGGTTAGATGGGGTAGGGTTTGTGGACTACTGTTGGAGTTTTAGGATTTCTGTGTTGGAGTTTCGTTTAGTGTGTTTTGTGGATAGGCTTTACTCTGAAGCCTGAACGTATAGGGCGGTTGAGGGTTTCTGGCTTCGCACGAAAAGCGCATTTGGCCCGAAGTTCCTCCAAGCTGAGACACCCTCTGAACAGCATAAGAAATGTTTAACACCCTTAAGCCCTTATGTAAACCCTAAACACTAAACCCTAAAACCCTAAACCCTGAACCCCCAAACCCTGAGTTTACGGCTCAGGGGAGTGATGGCAAGGAGGGCCCAGCAGCTGCCTTTGTTTAGAGGTCCGCATTTCTACACACATTCATGCAACTGCATGCATACATACATGCATACATACGTACGTACGTACGTACATGCATACAAACACACACATGTTTACACAGCTGGCTGGAAGAAAGACCTCTTCGAAGAAAAGGAGCCAAAGTTGCAAAAGTCCTTGCAATGATATCGCATGCAGTCCAAACAGTGGAAATCCTTCCATGAATTTTATCGCGATACCCACAGCCACGGAAAGCCGTCGATGGCCCAAGGCAGCTTGCTGCAACCAGCAACCTCACTGAAGGCCAGTTTCGCAATGGATGATATCCGGTCGCCATCGATAAATGCGGCTTGCTAAATACTAACAGTTTAGCCTAAACCCTAAACCCCAGACTAGCCAGACCTCGGTTTAGCCACTGCCAGTTCTGGACCCATTGCCACTCGGTATGTTGCCCATGGAAGAGGGAAGCTCTGAATCTTCGTTGGATGAAGAGGAGACCTATGCCGCCACCCGAATTCGTTCGATCTCGGTGCAAACAGACGATGGTGCCCGGACGCACACATTGATCTTAGAGGAGTACGAAGAGCTACATAATGACGATCGCATCTTCGAGGCTCGACATATCGATATGGGAAAGCTGGCAGCCAAGCTTGCACATTGGCGCCTGGAGGGCCACTGGACAATGCAGTGTGTCTCTTTGTTCGCCGGTGGCTTCCTCACACATTTATATGCTTACACAGGCCCCCGAGTTGGTGGAGACCTAGCTCAAGCAACTCTCATCACACTCTGCGGTCACCTAGCACCGCCGCTGACTGCGCCATTTGCTTTCGGGGCTTTCACAGGCGTTGTGTCCCCAATGCTTGCCCCTGCTTATTACTGGCTCGCCCTTCTGCTCCTTGTGGGCTGCATTCTCTGGCTCGTGGTTTCCCACTTCAAGATCTTCGTCGGCTTTGGAGGCCGTGTAGGCTTTACCGCATTCTGCTCGTGCTACCTGGTGCAGGCCATGGTTCTCATGCCGGTCGGCGCCGTCGAGTACAGCGCAGTGAATCTTTTGGCTGACATGCTGTTTGACGGTGCGAAAGTGGACTCTGTGCGTGCCGCATATGAACAGCGTGTGTGGCAGGAGGATTTGATTTCTGTCTTTGCACCAGTATTTGGAGCCGTGACTGCCAATTTCCTGCGCAGCTGTGGTGCGAGCCTTGAGAACCCAATCACTGGTGCAACATCCGGCTCACTCATGGCATTCTTGGTGCTGTCTGTCAGTGGTTGGAGCTTTGCACCCGTCGCAATGAATGGCTTTGCAGTTGGATCTTTCGTTGGCATGGCCTCCTTCGAGTACCTCCCAACAACGTTACTAAGTAGGCCTTTCAGAATTGTTTTGAGTTTCCGTTTTTTGGGGGAATTGTATACCCTAAACCCTAAACCCTTTAAAGGGACAACCCTGAACCCTAAACCCTTTTTGGGCATTATGCCGTAAACCCTAAACCCTTCAAAGGGCCCACCCTAAACCCTAAACCCTAAAAGCCTTAAGCCCTAAACCCTTTCAAGGGCTAACCCTCAACCCTAAACCCTTTCAAGGGCCAACCCCAAACCCTAAACCCTAAACCCTTTAAACCTTAAGCCCTAAACCCTTTAGACCTTAAACTTAAACCCTAAACCCTTTAAAGGGCTAAGCGAGGCTAAGCTTCGCCTTAAGTGGACTTCTGGCCGGTGGATTCATTCTCGTCTTGGAGCCCTACTGCGAGGGTTGGGGCGGCAACTGGGTCCTTGTTAGTTTAGGGGTTTAGGGTTTAGGGTATAGTTTAGGGTTTTAATTTAAACTACCGGAAACCATCTTATTTGCCCTATAGATCCCTATTATGGTAACTTAAGCTAATCTCCTTAACAAGAACCCAGGCAAGCAAGGGCTTTGTGCATTTCTTGGCTTCTCGACCTTCATCGCTGCAAAGAGGATGCTCTGCGGAAGGCCCAAGGACAAGGCCTCCACTGAGCAGGGATGACGAGCCATGCTTCTTCCGCCATGGGGGCAGATGTACTATAAGGGGCCTAAAAAACTTACTAACATTATTTTTTAAGGGGCTCCTTATTTTAATTATAGTATAGCGGGCCCCAAAACCCTATTCTACTTACTAAGGCCCTCACATTACATCTTTCGTTTGGGGTTTTGGGCTTACCGGTTTAGGGCGCCTGATGCTCTCCGGCCTCCTGCCGAGTCGCAATTTGTGATTCGAGGCGGATGTCACATGGCGCTGAGAGGCCCTCCTGTCAGTGCTAGCCTTCAAAGGCCACCGGCCACCTTGAAGCGCAGACCCATTCACCGAGATGTTTCCCGGGAAATAAAGAGGCAGGGTATCAGGAACCCCCCCCTAAACCCTAAACCCCTCACGGGCTCAAGGCTTCTCTAGAGTCTTTCTAATGTTTTAGAGGGTTTCCAAGGCTTGCAGTTTCGGCTTCTCGTCTAGATATCAGACCCGGAGGGTCCTAAGTACCTAAGACAGTAGGAACTCATCCCCCCTGACGGTACCTAGGATCCTTTGGGATATCAGAGGAGCTACGGGCTCGTGGAGGCTTCTTCTACTTGCTGTAACATCTACAGCACCCGAGGCCATGCGTGACCCGAAGCCCGCAGCCTTGACCCTCCCCAAGCCCCAAACTCTGAACCCTACAAGCCTACGCCCCAACCCTAAACCCTACAAGCCCTAGCCCCCAAAAGATCCGAACCCCCAAACCCGAAGCTCAAAACCCTAAACCGTATAATCCCCAAACCCCAAACCCCAAGCCCCAAGACCGCGAAACCTGCAGCTAATGTTCATCCCTTTTCGTGTCACAAGGCATTCCTTCACCTGAATAGGGTCTGAGTAGGCAATCTTTAACTCTTTGGTGGTTTATATAGTCCTACTATAATCGAAAAGCGTAAGCCCTGTTTGGGGGCCAGGGCACTCAGCTCCTAAGCCTCTGTTTCATATCTTTCACCAGGGGCTCAGGGCTTGGAGAGATCCGGGAGTAGGATTCGGTTTAGGGATTAGGGGTTCAGGGTTTAGGGTTTAGGATTCGGGTTTAGGGTTTAGGGTTGAACGGCTAGAATTTGAGGATCTGGTGGTGTGCAGGCCCACTACCGTGAGTCTCAACATTCGTGCTACGATTCCTGCAGAATCCGAATCCTTCCAAACCCGTTCTGATGCGTCATGGAGAGGGGCGGAGAGGGGCGGGTTCTTCTTTGACCCAAACAAGAAAGCCCCCACTTCTTGCCTGGTCCGGTCTCGTTAAACCCTAAACCCTACACCCTAAACCCTAAACCCCAAACCCCTAAACCCCTAAACCCCTAAACTGTATGATTCCCGAGGCTTCTTCTGCCGTAGACCACTAGGAAGTACATCCTAAACCCTGCCTGTCACCCAAGTTTCAGAACCCCTGTTCATCCTAAACCTGAGATCCTAAACCGCTCATAGAACCCTCGTAAGTTACCGAGCCCTATAGAACCTTTAAAGGAACCCTCAACCCTAAACCCCCGAAGCCCTCAAACTAGCAGCCTTGAGGTCTCTGGATGATGCTTCTTCCCCTGAGCTCTGCTCATGGGAGCAAGACAATATCCAGGCAAAAGGGGGGTTTAGGGTTTAGGGTTTAGGGTTTAGGGTTTAGGAGGTTTAGGGCTTAGGGCTTGGAGTTTTAGGGTTTAGGATTGCTCCTTAAAGGAAGGGTTCCTTCAAGAGTTCCTGCTTTAAGAGTACTTAAAGGGTCTGGGCTTCAGGCTTTAGGGTTTAGAGGTTCCTTTTTGGGGCTATTTTGAGGGTCCGCCCAAGGGTTCCTCCGAAAAAAAGGTTCTGTTATGGCTCCTGTACGGTATACCCTAACTCCACTCCTAATGGAATGCCGTGGTTTCGGATTCAGGGTCAGGGGCTAAGCGGTTTGGGGGTTTACGACGCCAACGAACAGGCACGGACTGATATTATTTTACGCATGCTGCTGGCATGCATGGGACGTGCATAGTCACGTCGTACATACATCTTTGCGTATACACACATACACACCACACACACACACACACACACACCGGGTGCGCGCATTAACATTCAATTGCTTCGCCCCAAAACGGGCATTATTCTATCTTATTGAACCCTTGCACAGGCGATCGTTGAGAAGACGCAGAATCTCGATTGAATTCATGCTGGCCATCGGAATGCTGAGGACGCAGTGATGATTAAACTCTACCTGAGTTGCAACAGACATATCCAGTTGGAAATGTGTTTGGTTTGCTGTGAACTCCCTAAATCGATGCCTTCTGGTCTTCCGAACTTACGGCACCGGCATGAATCTGAATCTGAAGCTTTGACCCGTCCCTTACACTGCGGTGGTTGCACGGACGCCACTACATAGTCCAACTAGACAAAGTCTCCCTAAGTTCTTCCGGTAGCCTGTAGCCCCAAACCCCAAACCCTACACCCTAAACCCTAAACCCTCAAGCCCAGCATAAATAGAAATTGTTTGATCTATTGTGCATGGCCCTGTAGATTTTGTTTGGCTTTCAATGTTTGACGAACAAACTGCAAGCACAGAAACGAATGTTGTAAAAACAAAGGTGTTTCCGCGGTGCTTCAACTCGTTCCGGCAATTGTCTCCGGGATTCGCATCCCACGTGTTATGCTTCCAGATTTGTGTTTCTGGAATCCAATTTCCGGAGTTGTGTTTCCAGAATCGAGTTTTCCGGACTTGTGTTTCCGGAATCTAGTTTCCAGAATTGTGTTTCTGCAAGCCAATTTCCGGAGTTGTGTTTCCGGAAACCAGTTTCAGCAGTTGTGTTGCGTTTCCGGCCTGGGATTGTGTTTCCGGGCCGGGATTGTGTTTCCGGGAATCTATTTCCGGGATTGTGTTTCCGCCCTGGGATTGTGTTTCCGGGCCGGGATTGTGTTTCAGGATTGGGATTGTGTTTCCGGCGGTTTCCGAAGTTGTGTTTCCGGACAGGGACTGTGCGTCCGGTCTGGGATTGCATTTGCTTTCCATGAATTAGAGATGAAGAGAAGGGTCAAGGAAAGTGGTGCAAGAGTTGAGAGAATGGGAAGGTGTGTTTTTGTCCATTTTGGAAGTGCCAAAATAAAGGCTTTTTGGCATTTTTTGCAGATTCCTGAAAATCGTGATTTTTGACGATTTGGGGCCTTAAGTAATTGATTGAAAAACCCGATTTGCCGACGGGTTCAAGTAAATTGAAGTGCAAAGCACCCGGAAAGGATTGGCTGAACTGAACAAAAAGCAAAAGGAAAAACCCTGTCAAAACCGTTCAAAACCCGGTCAAAACCGCCCAAGACTCAGGACCTGAACCCTAAACAATTTCTATAAACCCTAAACCCTAAACCCTAAACCCAAACCCTACTAAGATAGCAGGAGACGACCTAACTATGGAGCCGCCCATGTCAGCAGCCTAGGGCCGCCTTCTACGATCCCTCTAAAGCCTTATAAGAACCCTACTTGGAGGATCATGGGACTTGGTAAGTAGGGTTATAAGTACCTCATATTGGGGTTATAAGTAAATATAAGTATAGTTACCTTAGCAAGTAGGGTTATAAGTACCTTATATTGGGGTTAGAAGTACTTAATTATAACCCTAGTTACTAAGTCCCATGCTAAACCCTAAACCCTAATCCCTAAACCCTAAACCCTAGTTATTAAGTCCCATGATCCTCCAAGTATCCCATTCTTGAAAGATCTTGAAAGACGAGAGAACCCTCGAGGCTTCCCTAAACCCTGGAAGCTTTTGGGTTCAGGGTTTTTAGGTTCTGATTTTTAGAGACTTACGTAGGGTTTTGGGTTTAAGGTTTAGGGTTTAGGGTTTAAGTTTAGGGTTTAGGGCTTAGGGTTTAAGTTTAGGGTGATGTCCTCATGGGTACCTGTGCTCAGAGATCCTACTTGACTAGACAATGCCTGCTCACTGGATTACTCAATCGAAACCTCGGTCTTTTGCATTGCTGGGATTCATGCTTCTCTTCGGGCTATCGGTTGACTCCCAAGTGGCCAAGATTCCAAGATTTCCGTACTCGGGTTTGGGATCGTAGCACCTGACATGTCGGGCAGCATTCAAGGTACACGCTTGTATAGGTCCTTTCGGGAGAAGCCAAGGATGGATGCATGGGATGAAGAGGACAAGTCCTTGTTCTATGACAAGACCTTCCCCCACAGGTCAGCTGGCGGGGGGGGGGGCGGGTTCCTCAGCATTTCAACCCTGAGTCCTCGACCCCATGCTGCCCGAAACCCCGAAACCCCTGGCTGTAATCCTAGACCCCTTACTCAACCTGAAATCCTACATCTAAGGCCTTGAACTGAAGGTTGAGGCTGAGGAGTGCAGTGCAAAGTCCACAGCCCCGAAGTAGCCATGCGCCTTAGTAGCGAAACGAGCTCGATCACTAAGGCGCTGGGAAGGTCTGCCGAGATGCGTAGTTCAGTCTCAACCTGTCTGGCAACATTGGATGTGAATCAACACACTACATAGACCGTTGCACTTCCGCACTGATCTCCGGAACCCAACCCTCCCTTCAGCGCAGGCTTCGCTAAGAATCTCCGACTTTCTTCTCACACGAGACTTCCGATGACATCTGGCACAACTCTTTTGCATATCTCGGACCGAAAACCCCTATAAGGCCTTATAAAAAGGCCTTTTCTATAAAACCCTACAAGGCCCTATGAAGCCCTATCCCGATGCGGCCCTGCAGGCAGATTCCGTCCATCGATGGTCCGGGAGCCACTGCTACCGGCTTGGCTCAGACGCTTTCCTGCAGCATGCTTTGCTGTCGAGAAGTTTTGAGGCTTTTTTTTTTTTTTTTTTTTT